AGGCTAAAGAACCCCAGCTAATCACAATTCCCGGAGCCTAGCACTATTATCTCTCATAATCATGTGGTGCTTTCGGGACGTTCAACCCCGGATATCAATATTAATTTGTACGACTTCTTGAATAGTGCACACTGGCGCTCTCAGAGCGATACTGTTGCATTGCTAGACATTTTCTGTTGTTATGCAAAAGTAAATCTTCAAGATGTCATAGTGAATTATCATCTCTATGCCGCAAACAGAAAATGAAATATGGATTGTGGCGCCACCACATAGCGGAAACGCGTGTCGCATGCGCTTAAGCGCAATCGCTTGTCGTTTGAACGTGTCTCTGCAGCAAATGTAACGACATTTATAGAAGCACTAAAGAAATAGCGTTTTGTAAGGACATTACAAATTTAGTACGTCGAATCTTTATTCCAATTCTAGGCATTATTTGAGTTTTTGTATGCAACGCTGCAGCGTATCGATTATTCAATGACACGTTTAAGCAGGGTCCACGCATTGAAGTGTGTATAGGCAATCACTGGTGTACGTTGGAGTTACTGCGACAAAGCCATACTGAATTTACAATGAGCAAGTAACCATACGCCGCTCTAAGAAAAGAAACAATAAAAGTGGAATTGCCGTATTTAGATCATAGCAGTTCGCCGAAGCCGTGGTTGTAGATACGAGTCAGCTGTGCACGCCTGCCTCCCACGCGGCCACTACGTCTGCATCCCATTCATGAAGGACCTGGTGCCTAAACCGGCATCGTGAGTGTACTCTGCTGCGTTGCTCAGCCTAAAAAAAAAAGAGACGACGAAATTACCTTCACGCCCACTTTTCGACAACAAAGTTCAAGAACAAAGGCTGTTTAATACCGCAGTCACCGCACTTCTTATACGCCGTAAGGCCATGGAAATGAGCGTGCTGAATTGCGCACGTGGAAGGTCGGCAATGCGTCCTTTCTCGGGGACGACACGGATACCCAGCCCGAAAAAGGCATACACCAAACATACGTCGGAGAAAAAAAAAAAAAAAAAAAAACCTCAGCCGTGAAAACTGTGGTTGTTTTGCTTATCTGGAAAAGTTGCTCCTTTCCATGCGGAATCTCATTTACCCTCTTGTTTTCCGGCTACTGTTGGCATCACTTGCGTCGCAACCTCTTGTTGGCTTTCTTTCTCGTGGACCAGCGATGGTCGAGTTTCGCGCTTGCGTGAAATATGGGGGCGTTTAGGAGGCTCGACTGTTCTAAGCGCGCGGCCCGGCGCGTCGCCCCGCAGCACGCTCGGACGCGCTCCCGCGGCCTCCGTATCAGTGGCCGCTAACAATCTTGGCCGCCGCAGCCCGCCGTTTTTACGGCTGCGGTGCGTGCTCCTTTCGAAACGGGAGTCTTCTTTTTTTTTTCCAGGTTGCTTGCTCCGCGCCAGCTCGACGCGAGGGCGTTTGCGAACGCAGCGACGCCCTTTCTCGTCTTTTTTGTTTTTTGTTTTTTTTTCTTTTCTTGTTTATGTGCTTTCGTTACCCCTTCTAATCGCTAGCTCCTACCGCGTCCTCATTCTCTTCATTTTTTCGCTTTCTCTCTACCTTTCTTTTTCAGCTTTTTTTTAGTTTTATTATTGTCTTTTTTTTTTCGGGGAGGGGGTGACTACTAACTGACCGTGCATTCACAGTTCTCTACGCTGAACGGGCTCATGGACGCCCGCGCGAGAGTCGAACGACGAAAATGCAAAACCAGTGTTCTCACCGCCACACCAAAAGCCGAAGCGACAACCTTAACTTTGCGCTTATTTCATTCTTCAGACTCCCTTTTCATTGTTTTCTTTCATCCTGGAGACATCTCGCTCGACCGTCGGGCTTCCCGTGCGTGCGGGACATTAACCAAGGGCACGGAGACAAAATAAGGGCACTTTTCTTTCTCGCTTCCCCCCCCCCCCTTTTTTTTTTACTCGCTTCCATCTATATTCTTCTTTTAGCATTGTTGTCATTTACTTCCCCCTTCATGTTATTGCTTCGGGTCACAGCTGCTTCTGCAGCGCCCGAGATCCGGCCGATGCGCGATATAAATTTTGTCGTCACGTTGTTCCCATTTTACGCGCAATTAACTTTCCCGAAATTTCTACGGCTTTCAAAGTTCAAACTACTAGGATGTTTCAAAATACTACGCGTGAAGCTGACGAGTGAACATAAAAAGTGGGAGTAAAAACAGCCGAAGCATCGCGCTAACTGCATTCCGTTCGCCACACGGATCCCTGACTCTGAATTCTTTTATAACCAGTGCTGGTCTCTGCTCACCCTCATTCCCACCTTCTATTTCCTTTCTGTATACTTTCCTTGTTTTCGCATATGCACTTTTACGAGCCCCTAGTGCGTGGCTTTTTCATTAGAGACGATGCACTTACTGAAATAACAACATCGTGGCTTGTGCAGTTTAAGAAACCCACTGTATAGTGAACAATTTGTTTAGCACATTCCAAACAATTTGAAAAAGGCAATATAGCTTAACAGTTCTTAGTGCTTCCGTCGTTGTATGTACAGGTGTTGGTCAAATTTCGGGTTACAGAAAAAAAAAACAGCTACGATTTATTTCGTCCTGCGACTGACAGCCCGTGTATTACAGAAATTTGTGCGGTTGCTTTTATTAACTGAGATCGTTAGGGCAGCAACAATTATGCATCGTTTTCAAATGAATCGAAAAAAAAATGTATCAACGAAAATGTGCAATTAAAAGTTAGCAGTCCCCTCTCAACTCTCCTTCACACATTCATGTCATATGTGTCGTCGAGACATCGGGTAGTTTCCGTGCGCAATGCGGTGAACGCTGCGTTCGGAACGCCTATTGTAACTGAACCTGAAGCAAGCGTCTGCTAACATTACAATCAATGCGATTCCGATGAAGGAGTGGAGATGCAAAAACATGCTCCCGGTTTTTCATTCAGAGAATGACTCTATGTTAAGTACCGCACGAGCCACCGCTATTGTCCAGTTATGGTGCTTGACTGCTGACCCGAAATCCGAGGCGTCGAGCCCGGCCGGTATCGCATTTGTGGAAGAGAAATGCTCGAAAACAGTGTACTCAGCGATTTCAGGGCACGTTAAGAAATTCCAAGTGGTGGGGTTATGCAGCGCCCTATGTACCCTACGGTGTCTTTCATATCCTGAATCACTTTGGGAAGTTAAACCCCTTCAAACAGCCAACTATAAGTGGCGCACAGAATTTGGTATCGCTTTTATGTTCACCTAATTGGCCATCATAAGTGGAAGGCATCTAAGAGCACGGCATTGAATAAACGATGTTTTGTAAGATAAGTTTTGCGAATACACTGCTATCTAGAAAATACGTCAAGGGACCGTGATTTTCTTGTTTTTTCGCCTTTTTTATGCTCAGACAAAATATGGCTGGCACGTTTATTTTGGTAGAATTTTTTATTACACTACAGTCTGAGAGCAAGTTTAAAATAACTTGAAATTGAAGGTGAACCTTCTGTACAAAATGCAGTTTAGTGTAGTGGTTATAGGACGAACATTTGATGCACTTTGCGAAGTGTTCCTCTCTTTTCCGTCCGCTCAACTCAGCTACACCTTCCACACGTAACTCAATTAGTGTATGTATAATGATTCATTGATATGTGGCGTTTAACGTCCCAAAACCACACTATGATTATGAGAGACGTTGTAGTGGAGGGCTGCAGAAATCTCGACCGCCTGGGGTTTTTTAATGTGCACTCAAATCTGAGCACATGGGTCTACAACATTTCCGCCTCCATCAAAAATGCAGCCGCCATAGCCGGGATTCAATACCGTGACCTGCGGGTCAGCAGCCGAGTACCTTAGCCACTAAACCACCGTGGTGGGGCAATAAATGCATGAAAAGCAAATATCAACCACTGCTGCAATTTTTTTTTGTAAAAATGAAAAAATGTGATCATTTTTTTTTACCTCACACAGCCCTGTAAGTGGTCATGTATGCATGCGTCCTTGCAGTAACATAATAGCTCCTCCCATAGGTGCTTTGATATCGCGCTCGCTATCTTGTTTTCAGGAAAACATCCAGTTACGTTTGCATATACATAATTTTTTTTCAAGCCTACTTACTTTCACCATCAGTGCCGTAAGTTGGCGATGTAGGATTGGAGGGACGGAAGATGGGGACGTTGTGGTTGGCGCATGGCGTGAACTTGCATTCTTATGCCTTGCAATAAAGCAAAACTGGCATGCAGTCATTGCCTTAACACAATATAAACCACGCCAGTCGTAAGCTTTAGCGTAGTAAAATATGGCTGTAAAAATGTGTTCGGGAGCGACGCACTCCGTAAGTTTTATGAAATCATTCAGGCTTTGTGATACACTATGAATCAACTTCGCGAGACATATTCAAAGCAAAATAAAACTTGAGAGGTTCTCTCAAAGTGAGGCGTGGAAAGCTAGTCCTGGATCTATTTCCTCTTCTCTCGAATCGATTATTTGGTCTCCGTGTGATTAACGACTCTCTGCCAAGTTCAAGTTCCAAAAGGAACAGACTTCATACGCAATCTATCCCTTTGTGACGTGAAGTGCAGGGAAGTCGTCCCTTTTGAGTGGGCGAGCAGGAAAACTTCAAACTACTCGAAAAGCGCTCTCCTCGACCACGCTTTCACAGGTCACAGCGACATTACCCTTGCCTGAGCGATGTAGACCTCAAGAGAGCACCTTCGGGGCAATTCAGAGGCTCCTCCTCCGTCCGGTGCAAAGCTATATCAACCGTAAGCGAACAATCCGACTTCGAAAGTTCTGAACATAAAAAAAAAGAGGCAGGAGAATGAAATGAAAAGGTTGCTCGCCAAAACGAAGAAACTGCTGATTCGGTATCTTGTTTCTTTTGCACAACAACTAAGTCTTTCGCCACCCACGCACCGGTTACCTAATGAGACTGCGCTCTTTAGTGGCCGCGAAAAAAAAAAACAACTAAATATACGGTTAACGACGTTTCGCTGAGCTGACTCAGTTGTCTTGCTGTCGCGGCGCTACGTGCTCCTTCGCAGGTTCGCCACCCCCCGGCAGCTGGGCTCGCCCGTGAAGCGCGCCCGCACAGAGCCGCTCGCCTTCCGGCCAGCCAGCGCTACCGGCGGCGGCAACAAGGGCATCGCCAAGAAGAAGCTGCACACGTACGCCGAGCCGGACATCCTCATCTGCGGCAACTGCCGGGAGGTGTTTCCGAGCCTGCAGAAGCTGCTCGACCACAAGCGCCACCGCTGCCGACTGCGCTTCACCTGCCGCTGCCACGTGGTCGGGCACTTTCCGGCCGACTCACCGCCCGGTGAGCGCTCACTCTGTCGTGAAATTGACCCGACCTGCCGCCCGTTGAGCAGATAGATCACCGAGATTCTCTTTTCGCCGCATGCTCACCTGACCTCCCGATTCCCCTCTGTGAAAAAACGCTGGGAGGTATACTACATTGATATTGTGTTAATGGTCAGCCACACAAAACTTGAAAATCTGCTACTGAATACAATGCGTATACTTGAAAACAAGTTCATCGATTGCACGAGGTGCACAGACCGTCCCTTGGTATATGTTTCCACCTTCGCATCGGCGATTTTATCGAAGTGAAATAATGTCCGTCTGAACGTCGCCTCTCAGAGGGGTCATCGGATGGCAAGTCACCTTCTTCTCCCTCTCTATACAATCATACTTGACTTTTTTTTTTACCGTGTCTGTTAGGTTTTACGCAACCAACAAACAGCGGTAACTGTAAAGAGTCAAGTTCCTGTTCTCTATTGAAATATTTTTGTGTATATACTAGGCTTGTAAAACCTGTAGATCGTTATCAGACATGGTCTGCGTCATTTAAAACTTCAACCAACCACTTTTCAATATACAGACGCGTCCACTGTTAAAGGGAACAGCTGAGTGCACAGCATATATAGATTTCACAATCTTACGCAATCATAGAAGCTTAGAAGTGCAAAAGACTACTGGTGGTTAAAATTTCTGACTTCTCTTGATATACTAGTCAGGTGCATGGAGATTTTTTTCATGACCACTTGCTGTTAGGGGGCCAGCAATATTGATGGTGAGCATTCGAGTGCCCCCTTTAACAGTGGACTCTACCGTACATGCAAGAACGATGTTGTTTGTACTAGCGTGTAGAGAACCTACATAGACGCTAGAATGCTTCGAAAGAAATTTTTCGACCTATCCAGTGCACTTCACCGAAGCGAACCTCCAACATCACTTCCATTTTTACAAGTCACAAAAGCAGCGACTTGGTGAGCCAAACATCGAGTATACAATCCGGAATAAACACTGCCAACGTGGAATAAGTTGCGCAGTTTTCACATATTCAGGGGTTTCCATATTGATTATTATAATATTTTGAGGTTTAACACGCCAAAACCATCATAGTATTATGGGGCATGCTGCAGCGGAGATCTCCGCATTAATTTTGACCAAAATTATAAGATGCGAAGCGTCTTATGGTCGAGCTCAATCAGTTGTGTGGCGTGATCGCACTTCCTGCTCATGCACACCCCTCCCCCTTCTACGCTCCTCCCGCTCTCGCCTCGCAACGTTGACGCAAGCAGCGTCGGCAAGCCCGCTCACTCCCCTCCCTCCCTCTCTCCTCTAGGCATCCCTTTTAGCGGCGTTTACACACACATTGCGCATGCGCGTCCCTTCTTCTTCTCTCTCTCTCTCTTTGCTATCTGGAAAAGGTGACGCTGTCGGTGCCACCTCTTTCGTCTCGCTGCGCACGTCATCTTGTTCACTCGACTAGCGCTGAGCTTCGTACGGTGACAAGTTTTCCTTAAATATACTGAAAGGTGGTTGTTTAATGAGAGTGGTGGTGCACTCGGCGGCATCTCTGCTGTTTAACCAGACAGCAGGTTAGATTCGCTTTCAGTCAACATAATAGTCGTCACCGTTAGTGAGACTTGATTGCGCCATGAACCGTCAATGGAAACTAAATGCCAGAGGCAAACGTTATGAATTATATTTACATTATATGCTACAACTAATTTGTGTTTACTTGACACTATTTAATATGAAGTGCTTATAGTTTGGTCGTGAGCCCCTTTTAATTAGTTCTTCTGCTACGTCATCGTTGTCCGCAGTGATGGAGCAGTGTTGCTTGGCTGCTGAACGGATGGCCATGGGTTCGATTCCGGCCGTGGCGGTTGCATTTCGATGGAGGCTAGAAGCTGAAATCGCGCGTACTCTACGAAGCCAGTGCACTTTAAAAAAACACCAGAAGGTCAAAACTTCCAGAACCCTCCATTGCGGCGTCTCTCATAACCACATCGTGGTTTTGGGACGAAAACCCCAGACATTATTGTTATTATCTGTTGCGCCGTCACCATATTAGGCCAGTATTTGTATGATTCACTCGATTCTTTCACGACCACTGTAGCAAGTTGTCCATATGAAGCCCTATGCACAAACTCCAGCGCATGTGGTAACACGCTGTGAGAGGCACCCAGCGCTGAAAGTGCACACGCTCTCGCGACGTCAGTGCGCTATGTCGGGCCAGCTGGGTCACCGTTACTTGAAAGCATATGGCGCAAGGTTAAAAACGAGAGAGAAAATGAGACAGAAAGAGTGTCAACTTACAACATTCTTTGTCTCATCTTCGTTCTTCTCGTTTTTGACCTTGCGCCACGCCTTTCAATTAACTCGCGACTTCACTTAGCCAACCCAGAATACTATTACACACAAAACCGTCACACGTGTAGAACACACACCCATCTTGTCTCCCTTTTAACCATTGCACCCACCGCATTTTACCTCCGAGATATGGTGTGCAGGCCTCTTATGCGCTCCAGGCGCGCCGACAGTCATGTGTTGCTGCGGCCGCCCTAGAGAAATTTGAGACGAGTGGTTTTTTCTTGTTTTTTTTTTCTTTTCTTATCCACGATATCCAACGTAGTGCGCGCGGGAAGGCTGCGTGGATCAAGCAACCATCTTCGGTTCACCCTTGCCGGCTTCTTGCCGCACAAAAGGCGGGCGGGGCGGAAGAATTACAATTCGGCTTTACACAAAACACGATGGTAACAAGAAAAACAATTGTTACTATTTGCCTGGAACGTACATTTAGCTAGAACCACTATAAAGAAAAATGCTAACGAAGTACCACACAAACGAAATGACGACATAGCATGAAAACAGTGCTTCATTTATATACGCATGTTACGTAACAATGCGGGGTAGAAAAAAAAAACTATCTAGAAACCTCATTTTCGGGAAGTTTTAACCATGTTTATGTTCGCCTCTTGGCTTTTCTCCTTAATCCGACGAGTGATGTGGAACGCTTGCATGTTTGAAACATTTAACGACTGCAGGCGTAAATATGTTTCATGGTTTATTACTCTTGCTCACTTCCCAGTCCGGTTTTCCATTACTTCACAGCCGTCATTGGGAGTATCGAAAAATGAACCGGAACGGAGCAACTAGAACGTGAGACACCGGTAGGGAAGAAGAGAAAGCCGAGGACAAAGAGCTCACGAGGGACGGCAGGACAGATAGTTCGCCATGACAGCAGAATAAAGTCATGTTTTCTCTTACGGTTTGGGAACCAGTCGTTTCGTAATATTTGGTGCCGAAACCCGGGATGGCCCCCCAAGAGACGCCTTCACGTCACGGCCATGGCGAACTCGGACCAGCTGCGGAGGAAGCGTGGTGCACTCAGGGCTGGCGTCATGCGAGCCCTAACCCAGCTTACGGATCTTCTACAGCAAACGAATTCTTACCTCTCGGAAGTTCACGTGCACCTTGACTATCTCAAGGACAAGGAGCTTGCATTGTCGAGACTGGACGACGCAATTCTTTCGCTAACAGGTGAAGATGATGTTGACCGCGAAGTCGAAACGGCGCAAGATTATAGCGACAAGATTAGCTGCGCCATCGCGCGCGCGAAGTACTGGTTGTAAGGTCGTCAGCAAGCTACCACGACGCATACTGAAGGTTCCGGGTCAAGATCATGCAACGCAGACCTCCCGAGATCCGTCGGTGCTCCAGACCATGTGAGAGAGCCACGTCACAGATTGGTTGTACTGCCCAGGCTACAGATACCTACCTTCAATGGCAACTTGCGCGACTAGCAGGTCTTTTGTGATCATTACGATGCCACTATCCACCAGAACCTGGACCTACCATGCATCGAAAAATTCAAGTATTTGCTTACGTACTTAACTGGCAGCGCCAAACAGTCAATCGAAGGAATCCGGTTAGCCGAGCAGAATTTTGGCCTCGCGATTATAACGCTCACAGATCGGTTCGGACGGTGAGATCTCCTCAGCAATGAGCACGTGGATCATCTTTTGGAGCTTATCAGAACTTGTAAAACTTCTCACACTTCACGACAATGTGCTGTTCCCAGTGAGCGCTTTAGAAGGCATCGGTGTGTCCCCGGATCAATACATCGTGGTACTGAATCGAGCCATGATGCGCTGCTTGCCAGACGATCTGGCTATCATCTACCATCAAGGGATGAAAGAGGGTGACCGCGCCAATAGTGGGACGGAAACTTCCGAAGACAGACTGCACCGAGCGAAGAACCTGTTGACATTTCTTTGCATCTAAGTTGAAGTGCGGGAGGAAGGTCACCTGCAACCATGCACGTCACCGCTCCTACGAAGGTGAAGGCAGCATGGCGACAGAAAACTCAGACGGCACAGAATTCATTCCATCGGCTGCAGCTTTCACTGGTTCCACTGCATATATCAATCAAGTCTGCCCACTTTGCAACAGCCAAGAGCACAGCAATATGTCCTGCACTGCCAATTTGTCAGCGGACGAAAAGCGAGGGAGGCTACGGAATAACAACTGATGTTTCCGCTGTGGTACTCGCAACCACATCGCAAGAGCATGCAAAAAGCCATCAGTCTCACGTGTGACTCCTGCCGTCGTCGCCACCTGATTATTCTGTGCGACAAGTCCAGACCCGTCGTTCAGGACCCAGTACCTGCTGTGGAATCCGTTGCATTGGGAAGACTCCCTTCGCCAAGGCTACCAACCATTACAACCGCCCAAAGCATGCACGTCAGATGCACGGCTGTACTATTGCAGACGAGACGCATATGGGCAAGGCCCAGAAATTGACACATCCTCGTTCGGGTTGTGTTGGACAGTGGTAGCCAGCGCAGCTATATTCGCGCGGACGTGGCCAGAATCCTTCAGTGTTCTGTCATTGGAAGGAAAGAACTTTCAATAATGACATTTGGATGCTCCAAGGCTTAGAAACGACTCTGCGCCGATCGTGTCTCTGTGTGGCTGCGCAGCTGATTTAGCGATGCTCAAGTGAAGTTTGAAGCCTTAACGATT